AAGAGCGGTATTAGAGCCAAGCATTCAGTGTCCAATCTGCTTTTACCCTGGGAAACTAAGAAATAACTATAAATTGAGAACTCTATCCCAGAAGCTAGAGGTCAGCTTAATCCCTATCTGAGCCTCTCTTTCTTCTCTCTCTTGCTTTCTTTCCCTTCAGTTGTCAAGAACTGATTATAAGTCCTCCTCCATGTGAAATAGGGAGAATAAGGAGTTTAAAAAGTTTAAGGGGTACCCAATCTTTTAAAAATAATGCTATGCAGACCTCCCATATGTGAATAACTCAGACGTTCCAGCACTTGGCAGACTTGTCAAACTGTCATATTAACTGCCAGGAGACTGCATGCAGATATATTGCCTGCAGCATGATTTGGTAGCATCACCTATTTCAGGTCCCTATGATTTGACTTGCAGGTGTAGCTTCAGTCCCCTCTGTACACGGACAAACCTTATACCACAGGAAAGTCAATAGCAAATGTTAACCCCCAGCTTAACCACAAAAACCTAAACCTAAGCTTGATAATACCTAACCCAAGCTTAATAAGCTTGATATCAGCTAACTGATAATACCTGTTAACTGATGGTCTGCATGAGAGGTATTTAACTCTAAGATCACAAAGACATCTATCTAACAATCTGCAAGAGGATCCTTTATGGATGAAAACAGAGAATCAGTAGAGAGGATCAACACGTGAAATAAAGACACCTGAGCCAGCATTATCTTACATAGGAACTTCCTGTGTATTAGCAAGGGGACAGTACAGTTATCTGATGACCAAGTCTCACGCTTTGCATATAAGTGCAATTGATGCTACAGTGCTGATACTCTGTCCACAAATCTCTTACAGTAAGTTTCACACTGTTTCTTTCTAGTTCTGCTTGCTTAGCGAAGGAAAAAATTTAGCTTCCTGCATTCTGTAAATACTCTACACAGGGAGCAGGACTGTTCACCTTTGAGTTTTCCGGATTGTGCACTTTTGAGTTTTCAAGACTGTGCAAAATGAATAAGATTTACTTACAAGCTCAATTTTAAAGAAGTAATCATCAGGAAAACAAAGACAATTTTCCTTTGCTCAGCGTACTGTTAGTAAATGGAACAAGATATTGAAAGCACTGATAAGAACGGCAAGCAAAAATTGTTTCAAAATAGGAGGGAAGAATTTAAAAGAAAAATGTGAAGTATAATAGCTCTGTTACAGATACAGATGGGTCGCCTTCCTTCTTAAGCTTTTATGTTCCCTGTACAACATTTAAACACCAAATAATTTTTTCCTCTAGCACGTTTATCATTAATTGGAGGCACATCTTAGGGCAGAATTTTCTCCTCTGGTACAATAGCTAACAGGCTAATATCTATTTTTTTTTCAAATGAATAGTTCCATTGTCTTCAGTAAGAATCATCACATGCATATCCAGCTGCTATTAGATCATTTTGTTCCAGACTGTACATGTTCTGGAGTCCCTTTTTATAGTTATGAAATTTTACCAAAAGCTATTGTCAAACTGTATGCATCTTCCATCTCTTTAAAAATGTTAGGCTAGTGAGGCCATAATTATTTAAAAAATATAGTTTGCAATGTACTGCTTTGTATCGTCATCCCAAAATTCTGAGTTTATTCTAATTTAACCTCCTTGAGCTCAAGTTAGTCAAGACCATGTTTTTAATATGAATATTCTGGCTTTCTTTCTCAAAGAACAATGGGCTAAATTCACTGTAACATAAATGAAACTGCCTGATGAAATCCAAGGATTGAATTTTCCAAACTAGACAAAAGAATGAGTGTTTGTGGGCTTTTTGTGTTTTATTTAAAAAAATAATAATTTTCCTATCACACAAAAATTAAGGGTGATTAATAAAAGATCAGAAAGAAAAATAAAACCTTTCCCTTAGCTATAACCAGTCTACTACCTTAATTTATAATACTGTCACTAGCACATTCATTAAATGGTCTAAATTGAGGGTTACATAATTCTGACAGGCTGCCTTTCTGGTAGGAAAACTAACAAACACTTTGATGAGGGTTATAACGTCTTCAACTTTCCATTAATAAGAAGTTGTGAAGCAAAATTAAAGCTACAGTGCACAAAGTCAGAAGTCTTCTACTTCTCCTTGGAAGAAGCTGGGACAGTTCCAGCTTCAAGGCATGCGGATCCTGGCACTTAAAGTGATACAGTGGAGGGAACGTGGAAATGTGGCAGGGAGCATGGCACCTGCTCTCAGTGCTGTTGTGCACACACTGAAAACTCCAGGGAGCCTTTGTCTCTACTTTTACCCCTGAGAACCAGAAGTTACAGCTAACAAAATGCATCACAGAGAAAGCAGGTTGCCTGCTTTTCACGGATTAAATATAGCAATGTGGATGTGGCTTTCTTCCCGGTACGCTGATGAACCTTTAGCCCTCAATATGGGGCATTACTTCTACAGCAGGGAGGCTGGGTGTCCTGGAGCATCTTGGTCCGTGTCTTTTTCATTCCGCTTCTTCTTTATTGCAAAATGCACCCAGCTTTTCATAAGAATGGCCAGATTTGACATCTGCTAAGTACAGGTGTTAAATGACTGCATCAGATACAAAATCGTAGTGAAAAAGTACAATTCCTGAAGGTTGAGAGAGTGCATCTTGGAGATTGTTAAGTTTTAATGATTCACAGGCTCTGCACATTAGCTTTTGCAGAGCTTTGCAGGAAAAAAAAAGATTGGCAAGAAAATGGAAGAGAGGAAAAAAAAAAAAGAATTATCAAAGAAAACCCTTGGTATATCTTTCCTCCTAATTACATTTCTCAAATCTATTAGAAAAATGAACCTTACTAGTCATATATTGTGTTTCCAGCCTGCAAAAGAAGAATAGTCTCAAGGTTAAGACACAGAAGATCTACTTGTGTCTACATGAGTCTTTGTAATCTGAGCAAATCACTAGGTCTATGTTCTCATGAAATGCACGTGAGCCAGCTTCTGTTAGGCACTTAGACTCACATAAACTCCCCCTTCTAGAACAGGGGTAATGCAAGATCTCATCCATACGTGGTATAATCTCACTGGGGTAGAGGGATTCCCAAAGGTACGTATGTGGGCTTCTGCTCAGCATTGCGCTGCTCAGCTTCTAGAAACTCTGCCATACTGCCTCTGAAATATAGATGTCTGAGGAAAAACCCTCAGAAACCAACAGATGGACAAGAAAGCAAAGCTAGGCAAGAGATAAGGCCATGGCTGGCACATATATCCTAAACCAGGCTTGAGTTCAACGCCTGGGTTAGCGGGTATTAAAACAGCTCATTTCTCACTTCAGCACTTTCTTTACCTGCCCAACTGTTGGCTGCTCTGCAGTTCAGTTTCTCGCCTGCTCTAGCTGTAGCTGATCTGCTTTCTTTGAAACATTCCCTGGGCCAGAAAGTGATAAAAAGAGACTGTTTCTACAGCACAGTGGCATAGGTCAGTGGTGTTTAATCCTAAGCGCAAGTGTCTACTTCAGTATTTACTTACTGATAAAAGTTGAAATAGTTCCAACAGAAGAGGTAAAAACCTTTCTCACCAAAATACCTATTACCATACTGGTTAGGCCCTTTTTATGGGATGTGGAACCACCAAATTCAAATTGCTGCCATAAATCAAGCAGAGCAGGAATCTGAATCCAACTCTTTCATCCTGGAAACAATGGAACCTTGGTTTTTGACTCACCCGAGCACGCATAAATATATGATGATGTTACTGTGCTAAGCCTACATTGACTGGCAGTCAGCAACCACCTTAGATGTGCTCTCCAAGCACACACACAAGACTGAGCTCAGCTAATCACACAGATGCATTTTGAGAAAATTTTGCCTTCAGCTATAATTCGAAGCAACACATTAACAAGGGGATAGTGTAAGTGCTTTGGTAGTTTTCTTAATGTCATCTGGCAAAGAGTCTGAATAGCAACTCAGTGATGTACTTTACAACATCAGCAGTTGCTGGGCTCCCATGTATGTACTTTACAACATCAGCAGTTGCTGGGCTCCCATGTATCCTCATAGATTAAGTTGTGAGTTTGTACTGCACCTAACACCATAGCTCACAGATCTTAAGAGAGGTTTTGAATACTGTGATTTAATGAATTTGGAGAAGCTACTCAAAGTTTCAGTAGCAATTCACATTTCGGAGAATCTAGTTTGTCTTTGAAAGCCACAAGCACAATACGATGGTCTTACCACATAGCTTACTGTCACACAATTTCTTATGAAAAGATGTAGGACAACATGCTTGGCGATCTCTACCTTGTCTTTAGGATCAAGTCCCACAGCTGGAACAGCAGTTGTGGAAGCTTACATCTGAGTCCCAGTGATAGAACAGGAGCTGGTCAAGTCAAAGAAGTTACTCCAAGGCAGGAGAAATTTAAGGAAGGATGCATAAACTCATCTTGGAAAGATTAAAATGCGAGATTTCTTCTAACCGGGAAATAGTTTTCAGTAGTTTACCTTTGGCCTACGCGAAGGCTATGTTTGATAGAGGTCATGAAATACGATCTCATTGGAGCTACCTGAGCTCATACCAGAGTTTTATGGTGGTTTTTTGTTTGTTTGTGTATTTGTTTTTATCTTTATGGGATCAGAGCTGGGGAAATAGGTGATAATGCACTAAAGTTTACATATATGGGAGGTATAAGGCCTTCCTCTCTCACACTCTTCCCATTCCATCTCACTTCTTTTATGTTGATCACCATCATTTGAATATTTCTCTATTTTATGTAAAAGAAAAAAGCCATACAGAATTGGTTTCAAAACTGAAAGAAATGGCTTATAATAATATTAACAAATAAAACATAAGAAAAGTAAACTTCAGGAAAACTTCAGAGTGCAGAGCAGCAATCCCAAAAGCGGGAAGCAAAACAATGCAGTACCCCATCTTTAACAAAAGGAATCATTTATCCTGACACCTAAATGCATTAATAAGCCACACTTGTGTTACAATCACTTTTTCAAGCTGCAACAAAAATACAAACCTGCTAATATGGGATTAGTTTAACCAATTTAAAGAACAAATTAGAAAAAAAGGGTGTCTTGTGTGTCCGATTGCTATGGAGTGAGAAATAATTGTAAAGAATGCTTTCAGCAGCAGAAAAAGCAAGATTAAATTAGACACAAAGAAGCCTCCACTGAATACAAGGCTAGAGAAGGCTCCACCACACAAACAGAAGGGTGTATTTCCAAGCAAATGATTATTGATCTTCACATTCTATCTTCTCCAATGACCTTTTAAATATCTCTTTTGCTGATTTTTTTTCTGCATGGAGAGCATACACATATTGTGGAAATGTTTCAATGGAGAAGCAAATTGCATCACTCAGGGTTACAGAGCATTTAGTCTGGGAGGGAATAGTTGTCCTTGGCAGAGCTTGTACACATTCACCGTAGACTGGAAAGATGGAAGCACCTAGTACCCAAGGAAATTGGGAACTTTTCCTGCCCTAATGTGGCCTTGCGTCTAAATTATCAAAAAGTCACCGCTTAACCTCCTCGAGCTATTTCTATCATTCCTTCTTTAAAAAAGTGCTTCCTCATATTCTGCTGTTCCTGTATCTGTCTCAGGGCCTTGAATCACTCACTATCCATGCTGTGACTGAAAAGGTAGCTGAGAGAAACAATTTAGCCAGCAACATGATAGAGGAACAGGAGGGGAGATTTTATTTCCACTCTTCATAAATAGTAGCACCTAAAAAAAAAGACGACTAGTACAATCAAAATGTGCAGACAGGAATATGTATTTGAGCAAAGTCAGCCACCACAGAGAGAAGAATTTGTTTTCATCTTGTCTGTTTGATAGCTTATTGCATGTAATCAAGCAATGTGTGAGGTCCATAAAGAATTTATAAAGAAAGGACAGTTTCTCTGTCTTCAGAACCGACTGACCACTTTCTACAAAATGATTTTAAAAACTTACTTAGATACTTAAGCACGTCCTAAACAGAATCATACACTTAAATTTAGGACTGTGCTTAAAGCATATTGTTTTGCTAGGACCTAATTTCTGATTCAAAAAACAGAAAAAGAAGAATGCAGGTCCACACATTTTCAGATCAAACTGTTTTATGGTCGAATGTGCAGATACAAACTTTAAACATGTTGAGTCCAGAATAAAAGAAAAATAGGCTCCTTTCCAGAAGTTGCATCAAGTTTTTTAGAGGCAGGTATTTGGAAGGGAGACTATTTCAGCTGCAATCACTGTTAATTTCAAAGGACTAATGCATATGATTTTACTTCTGCCAATGCTATTGTAATTATATTATTTATTTAATGAGAGTTAAAATATAAGATAATTGTAACGAATTAAACTCCTCAGCATGCGTCTACACTTCAGCCTGCTGCCCAGTGTAAATACGAGTCTGCTTGCTTGCTGAGAATAGCCTGTCTACTTCAGCCAAGAAGTGGGGCAAATAAGCTATGCTGCTACACTTAGGCACTTTCTAGTCTCCAGCCTGGCTTGCTTATAACAACCTTAGATTTTACTATACCACACTGTTGTGTGCAGTGTTGGCATATCCTTCTTTTAATAACTCTGCGGACAGCAAGAAACCATCAGCAAAACAAAACATGTTCTCAGAAAGAGTTTCAGAACTGTGAGCTGCTAGTGAATAGCAGTCTCTGTGAGAGCAATGTAATTTATAATCAGTATACAGAACCCTCATGATTAATATTCATGCTACATAACCCAGAATAAATAGGAGATGCCAGCCTGATCCAAAACCCTCTGAAATTGATGGAAATCTTTCTATTGACTGCAATGGTCTCTGGGTCAAGCCCCAAGTGTCCAAGAGTTTTTTTATCTTAAAAAAAAAAACAACAACAACAAAAGGAATTTGCTCTCCACATTTTTCAGTCCCTCTCATTTATTGTCAGCAAATCTCTGTCAAAGTAATGCCTTCCTCTGCAATGGAACTCTCACTGAAGCCAGTAGGAGTTGTATATACAGAGACCGAAAACGTAATTTTAATGTAAAACTAACAATAAAGTGGAAAGAAACTGGATTTTGAAACAACACAAGATACTGATTAGTGAGGAAGCAAATCTTTCTTCTTAAGAAGTACAAAATAATTCATGTTTTGTATATCTTCAGGTTAAAAAAAAAATTTTCAGCGAGGCACACGGAACCTCCAAAATACACATTAAAAAAACACTCATGTAAATCTAATACCATTATAACCTTCTTCTTTAAACACTGCAATTACAGTCTTCAATGGTAAGTACATGAATGGCAAATTAAATATGGCCATTTAAATTATTTTATGCAAAGCAAAGATTTTTTTCTACTTATTAAATGCATTTAATAATATTTATAGGTTCCCTTGTTAAATGTGGATTGACAATGAAATTAAAGAATAAAATCTCATTTATTTTTATGCTACCTTATAAATTTTCAAAAGTACAAGTTCTCTCAGAACAATGTACAGTAATTGGATTAAAACTACTTTCAAATACTTTCCACCACATCTTTTACATTAAACATCTTTCAGAAAACACAATGTCTACATAATCATTTTACAGCGATTATCAAAAACTATCATGGAATTAAATGAAAGTGGATTGACATGGTTTCCTCCCCCCAAACAATAAAATGCTAGCATCAGACAAAATATTATGATTTAAAACTCAGTGTTGCCTCCCCTGCTCTCCCTTTCTTTCATTTTAATAACTAAACAGAACTTACTTTCCAAAGCACAACTGTTAATATGCAAATTGGTTTCCAGAATAGTTTTCAATAATCAGCTTTTTTCTTGCATTTTTGTTTCAAGAGGGAAAATATGAAGTTAAAAAAAAAGTAAAGAAAAGAAGAGATATTGTAAATAAACTCCTACTGTCAATTAGCAGTGAGTCCCCACAGAGGCAAAAGTAGACATTTCACGACGAATGGTACTGAAAGGGGAGAGCTCCAGTTCTGTGGTGTATTCATTGTCATTGTCATCACTTGTCACTGTTGAAGATTTCTGGATGCATTCATCACAGCAGCAACAACAACACTCCATAAAAGCCCGGCTGAAAGGTTTACAGAGGCAGAAAAGGAGAACTGGGGTAACACAGGACTTAAAGAACAATAGGAACTGACTAATGAGATGGAGGAGATCCATAGTCTGCCGAGAGACCCCCGTGGACATGTAAGCAGTCACAATGTTGCAGATGTTTTCAGGAATGATGCAAAACCCATATAAAATGGTCAAAGCCACCACTGTGCAGTTCATCTGACTTTCTAGCTGAATTTGCCGCTTGTTCCCTCTTGTACAAGCCTTTTCCGCCCTCCTGATTTTCCTTGCTGTTACCAGGGAGCAAGTAATAGTGAAAAGAGTAGGCAAACAGAAATAGCAGCCAAAGTACCACCAGAGTCTTGCCCCATCATACGTGAGAGCCAACACATAGATAGTATCAGGTAGCGCAGTGGAGATCTTCACCACACACCGCTCCCCTGGTGGGCTGCCACTGTATTCGGCGTCCTCCTTGGTCAGCTGGCGCAGCACTACCTCCGGAAGCGCCAAGAGCAGTGCACCCACCCATATAACAGCCAGCTTGGCAGTTGTCGATGTACAGTTTTCAATCATCTCATAATACATCTGCACGTTGGTGGCTGCACGAAAGCGATCTATGCAGAGGGCACATAGCGTGAATGTGGTGACTCCAAGAGAGGCTACCTGTAAAGGAGAAAAGAGAATACATTTTAATACTGTCTGAAACAATAAAAAGAGATGAAAACTGCAAGGCTACAGTCTCGATGCTATTCTCCTCTGGTGCTCAGCAATTTATTTCATGGGCAGTGGAAAAACTTCCCCAAAATTTCTCCTTCAGAGGCTCACAGTCTGCTGTTATGACAATCATCTTCTCCAAGATCGAAGATGAAGGTCTGAACTCACTCAGGCAGAAGAGATAACTCCTTAGACACAGGGTGAAGGCTCTTACTGTTTCCTGAAAGTGGGATGTACTCTTTCAGAGTTAAAGGGAACTTAATTAGTACGCTGAAACACTTGGCACCTTGAATGACAGATGCAAAGAGAAACCTAGTTTATGGGTACCAATGTACGAGACAGTTAAGCGCCATGCTGCTCAGCATCATCAAAAGCAAGAGGTGTCACAATAAAAAACTTCTCTTCAAGAGTTCGTTGAACTCTGTTTGTTGAACGTTAAGTCTCAACAGAATAAATCCTTCTGCTGTTCTGCCTCCAAATATTTATTTCAACTTGGTGTCATCCTTTCCTGGAGGCACACACAAGTATCACTGTGACTCTGAGTGAGGAAAACTGAGAAACTGACCTATATACAAAAGGAAACCTCTTCCTCCCCCCGTTTTTCTGAGGGGTCATTTTCAGAAAGATCAGTTCCATCACAGGTGTTGGAAATAAAAGTCAAAAGGGGAGATAAAAAGGAGTATTCCCTCAGAGGAAATTCAAACTTATGCCCACCTAACTTGTTCATTAACTATGCAGGGGATCATAATGTTGAAACCTTAAATGCCTTCAAAATGTAGGAACCTTGGGGGTTAGGGGTCCACTGAATAGAGTAGGGTCTGACAACCGTTACTGTAGACTTGGGCTCCTAAGTGAAATTTTGATGGGATGCAGGCACATAAAAGCTTCCTGTAACCTGAGTTCAAAGGGACTCTATCCGAAATCTTCCAAAGACCTGTGCAAAAACACTCTTGATAGATAGGAACGTTCAATAATGTACCTTCAGTAATACTTCTGGAAAAAATTCACAGGAAAATCTAGGCTTAATTTCATAGGAAACAGTCTAACAGAAGAGTTTACTACAGACTAGGAGAAATGGCAGAAGTTTCATTGTTTAAATGATCTAAAGATGGATTGGGAAGAACTCCCAATTATATACTGCAAGGAACGAGTACAAAGCAATGGGTATGCTTTCTACCTTTAATAACCATCATCCTACACATAAATAGAAATCTTGTGCTGTCATGAAAGATAATTTCATATCATTTTATCCTGTTTATAATTAAATTTCCTAAAAACAAATTTAGAAGAAGACTATATACATTTTGGCCTAATCCTATTTCCAATAAATTCAGCTTCAATTCAAATTCAAAGCAGAACTGCCATGAACTTCAACTGGAGAAAGATTAGGCTTTCTGTTGCATTCTAATTCATTTATTTTCTTGGTTTTGTAAGCTGCTGTTATACTCAAAATATGTTGATGCAAAAAAAAAAAAAAAAGACATTGTGGACACTGTTAAATAACATTCCTAATAAATTTAAAGAATGCTTACTTTTATCATGAATTAGCCATGTGCCTGTGCAATAAACTGGTAAATTTAGGATGATGTTAGGCAGTTCACTGTAGTTATTGCTTACCCAAATTTGGCGTGCAATGATATATTTTAATTTTGTATTTGTACATTTCAAAAATGCATTCTGATTTCCCACATGATTTTGAACCATTCTTGTTTATGCAGTTCTCGTAAAATGTTCCGCAAAGATAGATAGTACAATTATGCACAATTATATAAATGTACCATTAATTTTGGCCTTCAATATTTAATGGCCATATCAGATTGCTAAAATTGAATATCACTGAAAAATATTAGGCACTTGGGATTAAAACTGTCAGGAACTGCCTTAGCTGGGTAATTCTGTGAAGCAGCTCCCTAAAAGACGGAATGAGGAAGATGTAATCTCTTATTAATTAACCTGCAACAGAAGGAATAATTAATGGTGACAAAGGAGTATCGTAAATATTTTTAATAGGTAAGCCTATTAATTTAGGGAGTTAAACTGTCTGATAACACTCAAAGAAAGCTTGGTAAATACCAGTAAAAAATAAAAACTACTTAAAAAAAAATTAGAGTTAAGGGGAAATCTTAAGGAACAATGATAAACTGAGCTAATAAAAGAAAATTTTCATATATCACTGCTGATAGTCATATTGTTAAATATAAGACTAGTGATTTTGTTTCCAAAACATTTAAATGTGTGTGAAGTCTTTCAATTCCTTAGAGTGACAGCAAAACCTTTAGCTAGAACATCCAACATGAATAATAAAACAGTCAAGACTCGGCTCTCTACAATTACAGGAGACAGGGAAATAACTGAGACTCAAAAACGAAAGGGTTTGAAAAAAAAACCAGAAAAACAGAAGAAAAACTGAATTTTTTTAAATTCAAGAGCTTTCCTTCTTAGCTCTCTTCCCCCACCTCCCACCCCACAGGCTTTTACTGTGTTAGCATTCCATTACACACATCATGTTATACAGTGGCTATGATGTTAAAACTCTGCAGCTGTTAAGATCGGACTAATGAAGGAAGACATGTCTACCATGAACAAACGAAACCTACGGGGTTCCTGTCACATTAATTGACCAGCCACTTGGAGGTTTAAGACAGTGAAATAGAGCAAGAGGAAACAACTAAGAACAGTAGAAGTCAGTTTTGAAAATTCTCCTGTGGGTTCACTGATGAAACAAGCTGAATAAAACTAGCGTTTCTCTGTAATAGGCAATGGTTTCCTACTTTTGGTAGATTAATGGAGTTAGTGATGGAACACCTCACTTAAAGAAAAAAAAAGATGAAAAAACCTCACCTCCAAAAGTAAATCTTTCCCAAATCTCCAGAACACAGATGATTAGGGATTCACTCCAGCCAACCTGCTTAAAGGCACTACAGTAATGTGAGGGTCCAATTACTTCCCCCCTTTTTCTTCCCCCTTTTTGCTTCCTCTTTGTTGCAGAAGATGAGTAACAGCTACCAAATCAATGGGTGCTGCTCAGGGCCCACGTGGGCGAGCACTGGCACATGCATTGCACATGTTCATACGGTTTCAGTTTATGGCTGTTTCTTCATTCTAGTCATACTAAGAATCAGGGTTAAGCAGAAGAAGTGAAAGAAGTCAGGGAAGTTCCTTTTATATTCTTTTTCATTGTTCTCAGATAAACACAAAATTAAGAAAATTCATTTGATGGGACATAAGTAAAGGATACAGTACAAATCCTAAAATATTCTGTTGCTGCATGGGGTATATTGGTGCTCTACTGATTGTAACAGCCGAGTTTCTGGCACGCCGTTGCAGCCTTAATTCCAGGTTCCATCTCGCTTATTTTCACTGCCAAGCATTAGCAGGAAATGAGGAGAGGCAAGAGTGAGTCAGGCCTGGTAGTTTTGGATCATCACTTAGATTACTGCTTTATTTCTATACGGTCCCTATGAAGATTCTCCTTTACTCTCTAGACATTTGGGAAGATAACAGTTGTCTTTCTTTTACTAGATCAAAACAGAAAAATCCTCAGATTTCTAGCTGAATGACTGCAGATCTGCTTCGAGGATGTGGGGAAGTAGCGTGTCCCCCACCCTGATTTGGGCAGAGAACTCTTACTTAGGGGATTATTACCTACAGCACGCACAACCCAGAAAAACTATTATGGCAAGACAGTTTCTGTTAATACTGCTGTTCCTTTAAAAACTGACAGGGATGTATTGGGCACTGCGGTGTTCCTTCAAGACACTACATAAACCTTCAGTCATTAGTTCACCAGCTGTTTGTCAGCTGTGTTAAAACTCATTTGGGGAACTGAGGCCACAGAGAGCAACAGCAAACTCGGGAACCGCTCAGTTTAATTGCCTTAGTCCTCCTCTCCGTCCTTCCAAAATATCCGTTCCCTTTCCACATGCTCTAACAACTACCAAAATGTTCTCAGGCTCTCCATGGCCTGCCCTACTTCTCCTCCTGGCCATGGGCCCACAGCACTCAGCCTGGTCTCTGGAAGCAGAGCCTCCAGCTGGACAGGGAAGCAGTGCAGATTAAGTAGGGTGAGCAACGTCAGCAGAAATAAGGCTCTGAATTCCTTAATTCTGTCTCATACCTGTTTGACAAGATGAAGGTAGTGAAAACAAAAACAGAAACAAGATCAGAAGGGTGACTAGGTGAAGTGGATGCTTCTAATAGCAGAAACTACATTTTCTAGGCCAAAATATATTTTATGTTGGCAACCTAGTGTTTCTTAGATGACATGGCATCCTTCTTTTCTTTGTTAGAAGGCAAGATAGGCATTCAGAACATTTCCCTGTTGTAACAGGAAAACTGAACTACAGAAAAGGTTGAATGCCACAGAGTCAGACGAATTGACTCTGAGGTGTCAGCAATAACCCACTAGATTCTTTCTCATCACTCCTGTTATAGCATATAAAAAAAAAAAGACTATAAAGTTTTTTTTTTTTTCCTGAGCCATTATAGTCTATCATCTTATTAGGACTACTCCATATCCACATCAAACTCCATATCCTTAGGGCATTTTTAATATAACATACCATGGCAGATCTTGCATACTTGTAAGTCTTGTCTAAGATAAACAAAGCTAGCACAGACTGCAGTATTTTTCCTGTGCTTCTCTTTATTTCCAGGAATAAGACTGGACTACTGCAAAATAAAAGGCCATCCCATCGCAAACAGTTATTTAATTGCTCAATATCATTTACATTTCTGGTTTCAGTTCTTCCAGTTAAAAAAAGATAGTCATGCCTATAAAAGTATCAAAGAACAAAAATACATGAATGTAATCTCTCTATATTCCTTGCATGAAGTTCTATTAAGTATTTGTTTCTTACTTTTTACATTAAAATAGGTAAGGGTCACTCAAATGGTTAAATCACTACTGTGGGATGGCTGAAATAATTCAGTGGCTAGATGGTATGAGGGTCAGAGTACCCTTCTGATATTAGCAATTACCTTAAGCATCTCAGAGGAAAAGAGAACTCACCTTAACTATCTCAAAAGCAACATGTACAAAATGTTTGTTTTCTTTGTGGTACTATCAATGTTCATATCAGGGAGATACAAAGCACGTGTGCTTTCTGTCTTTATTATCATTCTGTATATCCTCGGAGTATTAACATTCAGAATCAACTTCCTAGAGTTGTTCTTGAACTATGCTGGAAGAGAAAGTTAACCAGCTTGTCAGGACACTAAAAACAGTCATTAGTACGCCACACGATTATCCAGAGGGTTGGAAAAACACAAAATGCAGAAGGACTCCATTTTTAGTCCATTTTCCTGTTTGAAATCTACTATGGTACCACATAAGTAAATGAAGCTTACTCTTTTTTTTTTCCTCTCTCTCTCTTTTTTTTTTTTTTAATTTTAAAAATGAGCAGTGTTCTCCACTGAGGATCAAGCTCTCATCGCTGCGTGCAAGGGACTCTTGAGCTAATTCTTAATATTAACAACACGGTACTATCGCTAATATATTTTCCTCTTCCTCCTTTACAGGAAAAAATCCTGTCATATGGAGAAATCATAGCCCAGTGCTGAGACAATATTCAGTGGTGCTGGGATAGCAGATGCTGCCTTTTTCCACACATATATAACTTAAATATTACTGACCCAATTTTAAACCTAGTCTGACACAAATTCATTGCAATAGTGAAATGTTGCATGCAAGGTTTAAGCCAAAAGCAAATTTTTATGGACAATTTACAAACCCCTAAGGATAGAGTTTGCAGCGGAATGAAAGACTGACAGAACAGCAAACATGACAGCTACTATCATCATGCAGCTAATAACTAAAGGGCAGATATTTTTAACACTTCTTTTTTAACACTGCTTTTCAAAATAATTATTTATTGTTTGCTCAAGATACTCCGCTCAGTTAGAGACACATGTAGCCACTGCCCTAGAAAGCTTCCAGTATGAAGCTTTGAATCAGTAAACTTCTCTGAGGACCTCAGTCTACAACCTAGTGGACTTTCTGGAGGATCAGGAGCCTAATGCTGACCGGAGTCAAGCACAGAAACATAAAGATACAACGCAGCAAAAGACTCAGAAAAGACAGATAATATATAGCTTTTAGAAACTCCTATGAAAAATGTATTTGTTTCACTAAAGTGAAACTTCTTTAAAAAAAACGGATTTCCACTGACTGTTTTGGAGCAGGTAGAGAATGGCCACTTTCTCTGTGCTACTCACTTGTCTCTACCAAGTAAAAGGGGGGGGGGGGGGGGCCCCGCAAAAACACAAGGTTTCAGTCAGTCTGTCCTGAGTGCCAGGCTGAGTACCATCATTTGACTTGGCTTGCTCCGTGCTGGACTGCACAGTACCTTAAATCAGCCTGCATATGCCCTTGTTCTAGACCCCTCCCCACTTCTAAATTATTATCCCATTACGAATAACTTGTCTCTGTCTGCTGGTGTTATCTCCTTTCAGGTACCTTAGTCAAACTCATCAAGTTTCCAGCACAACCTCTAATAGCAGAACACACACAACTCAAGCAAATTTCCTTTTAAAGCCTGAAATATAATTTCTAGCTGATGTAATCAATTTTTCCCCTGAAGCAAGCCACTGAAGGCCTTAAACAAGTTACTTAACATCTTCTCTACTGGCTTCTAGCATTTAAAATTAAAAATAAAAATATTGTTTTGCAGGACTGTTATATTGAACAACTGCGAAATATTTAGAGGCACAATAAAATTACTAATTTCGTTTATATTCACACTTCTTTCTATGAAGGCCTAAATCAGAGTTGGGAAAAATGCAAAGCATAAATCTATAAGTAGGAAAGCAGAAACTATATTGTTCTGTGCTCCTAATTTTCTTCTAGTTCTTTTGCTGAAAAGACTGGATATGCTTAAACACATAGAAGCAAAGGATTCCATACTGACAGGGTTTGTGGAAAGGGAATTAGTAAAAATCATTGTTTTTTAATCATTTTTTAGCCCTTATCTCCTGATTCTGAGCAATACTGAGAAAATTATTCCTGGAAGACAACATACAGATAAATACTGTGCGGGTAAACACTACAGATCTGGATGCCAAAAGGTGGACTTGCAAACCATTTGCAGAAAAGCAGCAAGATTTTAAGAAATGCTGAGCAGAGGATTAAAATTACTAGGCAGAAGCACATCTCTGCACATCTTGGGTAGACTAGTCACCCCAATTTGTTCTAACTTCCTTCTCAATGAGTGGCTTCACATCTACTTTTCCAGAACAGTGTCATCCCCAGGGTCAAGTGAAGTCCTTGGGGCAGATAATGTCCTCCACTTCCACTAACCATGTTTCTTTCCAGCTTTGTTCTATAGCAGCTTGGCTCTCATCATCTAAAGACCATGTAAGAAGCACAGGAGAACGAGCTTACTCAGTTTTTTCCTCAGACGTGTACAGCAGTCCTTATGCAAGTATAGCCAAGATGAGAGGTTTAAAAGACAGTTACAAGTGACCAAACCATGATACAATATATGGCTGAAATGACTGCTTAATGTACTTGGCCATAAAAGATCTTTATTGGCTATGGGAAAACTGCCCTTTAAACTAAATACAACGAAGAAGTACTGCTGCTGAAAGCTCAGCATTTGCCTACACAAAAATTCTTAAACATATGATAAATCATCTTCACAAATGTATGTGCATATATGTTATCACTGGTTACAGATGCTTTGTTAAAAGTGCAAAACCCATTAAACAGGGCAAACAAAAACCAACTGGCCACAAGAGGCTAAACTAAGAACACTCAGGATTGCCCATTCGGATTATTTCAAAATTTTAAACACAGTACAAAAGCAAGCTTGAGTTATGTTAAAATGATGTATTACATCACCTGCCCTGGATACTCAGATATTTCCCATCCCCTAGTTCTGTGCAGTTCTGAAAGTAT